TGCTCCCTCACAACGGTGAGGTTTTTTTCTCATCATGTTAATCATCCTGATTCCCCATAACGAAGAGGAATGTAGGCTTTTCCCTCTATTTTCCTGAGATATTTTTGCCAGATGGGATCTAGCCACCTAGCACACGTAATCAGGACATGCCACTCTCCATCTGCATGGCAGCCGCCTGGGCAGGGAATGGAAAGGTGGGAAGAGAGTCAAAAAGAAAGGAAAAAAGGAAAGAAAGAAGACAACGAATTTTGTCTCTCTTTCTAAATTTTCTTAAAAAAAAAATTAGAATATAATATAGCTTGAGTATAAATACATAAAACATAGATACTCCTATGTCCACATCCCCAGTAGAAGTAGAATTAATTAAAGTTGGGAGACACTATGCTCCTTAGTGGTTTAATTAACTGGATTTGAATTAAACAGGGACAGAGACATGTAAGTTTTTAAAAACATGTCAAAAGTCTAACTGCATTTCTGGAAGTTGATCTCAAATTCTTTCTCACAGATAACCCAGTCTCTTGGCCGTGTTTATGCTGAATGAATGAGCAGCAGAAAGGATAAATAAAATATCTCTCTGTGCTGTACTCTAGCGAGCTGAGAGTCTAATATTCAAGAAATGCAAGTAAAAGTAAACAAAAGGATTAGAATTGAGCTGTGTTATATCCATACTGCATCACATATCTATTATATGATTCAGCCTATCAAACAGAGGTAGTCATGGTTATGCCGATAGTTAAATTACTTCAAGGACTCTGAGATGTTTATGACTACCAAAGAAATTTCATTATCAAGCAGATTGTCTGTCTCATATTACAGTCTGGCTTTACCAATCTAGCAGTCCTTTGGATGTCGAGCAAAGTTAACATTGAAGTGATGGGGAAATATCAGCTTGAAAGAAAAGGTCTTCAACCAATCTTTCAGAAAAAATGATATTTGCTAAAAAATTTTGTGAGAAAGTATCTGCCTTGTGTTCCCAATGTTGCTAGATGTTAAGTAAATATAAGCTGATTGCAAAAAAGTTGCTTTGGCAACTCTCTTATTAAAATGCATTTGTAACCCCCATCTGTCATGAAAGTTTTGAAAAGTTTGTTTACTTTGGATAGCCGCCTTATCCAGGGTTACCCCAGCATACAATGATAGCAGTCTTCAGAAGTTGTGTGAGGAACAAGCCACTGGGGATCCATTTTTGTTTTAATTGGCACACACAAACACTTTTCTGGTCTGTCAAAAAGATCAAGCTAATATGCATGGCGGGTGTTATATTCTCAGCTTTTGGGAGTAGTAAAGCTCCCTTTATTTAAGTAATTTAAATGATAGACTGCAAAAACTTTGCAAGTCAGAAAAATGTTTTATACTTTCTTTGGGAATATTTGTTTTAAGCAACAGAAAATGTTCTACATATCTAAAGATGTTGAACCTTATGTTATAATTACCCGGTTTCTTCTGACTCTGTAAAAATTACTGTGCAAACGAAGCGTTGCAAAGAGGCAACAAACAGATCCTGTGTTTTCACAAGTTCTGCAATATTAGCAATTGTAAGACCAATTGCTGCCAGGTGTTTATAAGATATGTCTTCAATTGTGTTGCCTTGTGGTATGACCGATTTGCACATCCCTTCTCCGGGAACATTCGAGGGGTCATCGTATCAAAGCAACCTGCTCGTGTACAGTAAGTTGCTTTTTAGTGAAATTAATCTATTGTTTGGGGTATACACGTAGATCATTCTGAAGCAGATTCAGCAGTCTTAAGTCTGGGGTCTAACTTCCAAGAAAGAAAAAATCCTTAAATGAAACTGTGTTATATCAGTGATGAACAAATGATTTACTTTTTTTTCTGGTAAATTCCTAGGATTGAGTCCTTCAACATAATTACTAATAAAACAATGAACTCTGGGACTGCTAAGAATAAGAAAATCTTTGGTTTAGTGTTTCCCTTCTGCTGTGCAATGAACTCATAGTACATACCAGTTTCTACTGAATTACATTAATATTAGCAAGGAAAGAATCGGGTCTTCTCTCTGCACTATAAAGCAAACATTTTCCTTTCCTTCCTGGCTGTGAAGCATCTCACTTGCAGAGGAACTGATTTATAGCACTTGTAGGAACACACTGAACACATCAGAGGTCACGATTAAAGCTGATTAGGTCCTGAGAAACCAAAACTTCTCCTTGGATTTGGAGAGGAGGTCAGGCTGGAGAGTCCACAGAGCCTCCCTGGAGGGGGAAAGATCCAGTGCTCTGCCAAGGGTACTGGGACATGTTCACTGATACCAAGGAACAGCTTATTGTTGTCCCTTTTTCACCCATCAGTCCAGGTCTTATTTCTTGCTGCCCTTGGAGATATGTGAAAAGAAAGGGCATGCTGTTTGAGCAAAGAGGAAGGTAAGGAAGAGGAAGGTTTCGGCTAAACATCCAAGGAACATACTGGGAGGAAGTATTTC